CTATATAGAATATAAACGTCTAGAAGACGTCCTAAGTAAGAGAGTAAAGGTAATAAGTATAAGAGGGCGTAGGATAGTAATAGTAGTACGGGAGTAACTTTTCTGTGCGCTCCTTTAAGCTTATTATAAGGACTACGTAAGAGACGACTATACTATACGTTACTAATTATAGAACTAATACTTAGACTACAGCAAACAGTAGTAGATGTTGCGATAAAAGTTTAGGATAGGTATCTTTGCCTTAATACCAAAGGGTAGTATACTATACGCTTTTATAGAGCGTAGACTTATATACTATCTAGAAGATTAGATCTAAATAGTAGCAACGTGTAACGAGAATATACAGGAAACGTGTGAGGCTATTAAACCTCTATTCCTAAGATGTATAGCGGAAGAAGCACCTCTAGAGTAGCTATTTCTTAAGGTAGTAGACAAAGAAGATATAGAGGATTAGTTATTTATAGCACTGCTTAAACTTATAGAAGATAGAGATAGGTCCTTCTAGAATCTTACGAACAAATATAGGATTCCTAACTTAGAGGACGAGTCTTATTAATATAAGGTCTCTTTATAGAATAGATAATCTATATAGGTAACTAAGTACTTTTAGCTATACTAATACGCTACTCTTTCTTTTCTTACCTGCACGTAACCTAGCTTTTACTAGGCTACTACTAGGTAGAATAATTATAGTTATAGTAGAGTTACTAGCTGTATATAAAAAAGGTAGACTAGGTTTTAGATTATATATAGAAGTAAATAGCATTCCTACTATAGACTGCTGTCGGATTCTGCTGTCAGATTTTGCTGTTAGATGTTAGAATTAGCTATCAGATTTTGCTGTCAGATTCTGCTGTTAGATTTTGCTATTAGATATTAGAATTAGCTATTAGATGTTGGAATTAGCTATTAGATTTTGCTGTCAAATAGTGGAATTTGCTGTTAGATTTTGCTATTAGATATTAGAATTAGCTGTTAAATATTAGAATTAGCTGTCAGAATTAGCTGTTAGATTTTGCTGTTAAATCTCACTAGCAGATTTTGCTGTCAGATATTGGAATTAGCTGTCGGATTTTGCTGTTAGATTCTGCTGTTAGATTCTACTGTCGGATTTTGCTATTAGATATTAGAATTAGCTGTTAGATGTTAGAATTAGCTGTCGGATTTTGCTGTCAAATAGTAGAATTCGCTGTTAGATTTTGCTGTTAGATGTTAGAATTAGCTGTTAAATATTAGAATTAGCTATCGGATTTTGCTGTTAGATTCTGCTGTCAGATTCTGCTGTCGGATTTTACTGTCAGATGTTAGAATTAGCTGTCGGATTTTGCTGTCAGATTCTGCTGTCGGATTCTGCTATTAGATTTTGCTGTTAGATGTTGGAATTAGCTGTTAAATATTAGAATTAGCTGTCGGAATTAGCTGTCAGATTTCTAACGCACGGGCTAATTTTTCGAGGATTTGACAGCAAAATCCGCGATCCTAATAGGTATAGAATTAGCTATTAGATTTTGCTGTCAAATCTTACTAGCAGATTTTGCTGTTAGATATTAGAATTAGCTATTAGATTTTGCTGTTAGATTCTGCTATTAGATTCTACTATTAGATTTTGCTATTAGATATTAGAATTAGCTGTTAAATATTAGAATTAGCTGTCGGAATTAGCTATTAGATTTCTAACGCACAGGCTAATTTTTTAAGGATTTAACAGCAAAATCCGCGATCCTAATAAGTATAGTATAGACTTTTTTAGTTATCTAAATAAGTAAAGACTATAATCTTTTAGACTATAAACTACTATAAAGCTATAAAACTTTATAATATAAAATAGATAATCTATTAAAAATATTATCTATTAAAATAGACTAGGAATTACGCGTATTAATAGACGTTAATTAACTTTTATAAAATCTTAGACAGTTACTAAGCTCTAAGTAACACGCTAACTAAAGTAGATATTCTTAACTACTACTTTACTATAGAAACTTAGCTTATAAGTATAATACTAATTTTAAATAATATAATTAAAACTATATTAAAAGTTTAAGTAGATAAAGATACTTAAGTTCTTTAGTTTACTAACTTAACCTCTCTACTAAATACTAAAAGATAGAGTTAATTAGATAAGAAAGTATTACGTATACTTTTAGATTACTTCTTTTTTATAGCTTAACTATACCCTCCTTCTAAAAAAGATATATTTTTTTAAAGTATATCTAAATCTACTTAGATAGCTTAGTTACTTAGGAACTTAATACTAGTAAGCGCTTTAATAATTTAAAGTACTTAACTACTATTAGCGCTTACTTATAAAGTAAGCGCTAGCTTATTATTTACTACTATAAAATCCCTTAGAACTACTAAAAGTTTTACTAAGTAGCCTAGTTACTTAAGTATTTAACTACTATTAATAACCTCTTATAAAGTAAGCGCTTACTTTTTACTACTCTACTACTTTAGATTAAAAGCTTACTTCTTATATTAACTAACTCTTAGTAAGCTAAGATACGTTAGTCTTAACTACTTATTAGTATTAGTTAATATTTAGGTTCCTTTTTATATAGTATAGAAACTTTATTTAGCTTAATTTTTATATTATAGAGTTAAAGTAGTAGAAAATAGCTTAGAGGTATAGTTTTTTATATAAAAAACTATATAGATATATATAGCCTTATATAAACTATAAACTAATTCTATAAAGTATAGAGTCTAGTAGTTTATATTAGGTATACTAGTTTCTAGTATAGACTAGCTTATATAAGCTATATACTAATTAATATTATAAAGTAAGTAAGTTTAGTAGTTTACATAAAGTTTAGTAGTTTACGTAAAGTCTAGTAGTTTATAACGTTATATATTAATATCTTTATAAGTAGAGTAGCTATTAATAAACTAAAAATAGATTTAAAATTATAGTATAATTCTATATTAAATTATATAGGTTAAAATTCTCTATAGTAGCTATATAGCGTGCAGTTACGTAAAGAATATTAAAATTTTACTCTTATCTTTTAACGCAGATATCTTAATAATAAGAGTAGCTATTAATAAACTAATTAAAAATTTAAAATTCTTACGTAATTCTATATAAAATAGCTTATTTTAATTCTTTTTTACTAGCTATATAGCGTAGATAGCTAGCCTTAATCCTACTACTTTAATCCTACTCCTTGTTTCTTATCGCATCCTTATCGCTACTAACAAAACAGCTTAATTCTACTAGGATTGAGTACATCCTCTAGGGTAGGAACTGTTAATCCTAATATATATAGAGTAAAGGTTACTATTAATATATACTTATTCTATTCCTAATATAACGTTTTATAAATATATTAAAACTATATATAGTAAATTTAATTAAGCTTCTAAAGTAAGCCTTAGCTTTCCTATTAGTTACCTCTTGTAACAACTGCAACTAAAGACGAGTAAACCCTAGTTCAACATACTAGGCAAAGAATACTGCAACAATAAGAGCAAATGCTGCTATCGCAGAGCTTCTGTCCCCTGTCTGTCGAGCCACCCCACTACCTGTCGGTCCGGATGTTGCCGCAGCTCCAGCACCTGCCACTGACGAGGGCGCCGGCGGAACATATGAGCTTGTTGGTTCTAGACGCGAGACTGTGCTGCTCGAAGCAGGAGACGTGCGACTTGCTGATCCCGACTGGGCAGTTCTTCCACAGTATCGATTCGAATAAACAGCCGTTGGATCTAAGGTTTTCCTCAGACAGCTTTGATTGGCATCAATGTCGCATCGCGACCCCCAATACAGCATGTCCTCGTTGCAGAGACAGCCGTTGAGATCTGTGCCTGGCGTATTGTAAGCCGAATTGCACGAGGTCATGGCCACTGTTAAACTGTCGCAATCCATCGCATAGCTGAGACAGTCCTCTTGGTCGTATGCTGGTGGTTTTGTGATGATCATCGTTGTTGGCGAGAATGTAAGCACTTCTTGACACACTGTAGACCAGCTGTAGTAGAATCCGGTGGTTCCTTCGAAGAGGCTGTCGATCATTGAGTTGGGGAAGCAGTCCCACATTTGCTGGTGGCAGCTGAATCTTGTCAGCCTACGAGCAAGCTGCGGATCGTGTGGACTACTCACCCTGCCATATAATTCAACACGCTCTGCTGACAGTAACAGTCCGCCTGTGAGCTCGGGTTGTCTATATGGGCACACGACTTTTGCTTATCGAGCATCGAGGTACAGCTGCTCATTGTAACAACGGTATTCAAGCAGTTAGTAGGATCGAAGATTATGGACTCGGCGACTGATTGCGCCGCTGTCAGGGCCAAAAGATCGACCAGAATGATTATGATCATGGCGAAATTGTCGGGTTGGACTGCCATCCAGACGGATAAGTTCGCTCAGATGAGCTGTACTGTTACCCAGGTAGCTATAGCTCTCTAGCTTTATTTACTTTCATCAGCTGAGGTCGCCGAGCAATCCCGCACTCTTCCCCAACGCTCGCCAACGTAGCGCCATCTCGCATCGCCTAAGTCTAGGCCCTCTGTATCCTTGATTTGTTTTTGCGGGAGAACGTGTCGTCGGCGTTCACATTCAGCTGATAAGACCCTGAACCGCTTTAGCGCCTCGCTTGGATCACATGGCACTTGGCACATCAATCATTCGTTCTGTCCTGTCGAACATTAGTCCATTACATCCTCAGCTTATCCACAAATGTAACCTATGCTTTATCCACAACACTTCGGTGTTCACCCGGAAAGTCGCCGAACACGAGCCTTGGCCAAAGAGGAGAATGTCACATGTGCCTTGGCCAAAAGCTGAGAACCTAGCAGCCAATGAGTTGGACCTGGCCGAAGCCACTGTCAAACTATTCCAAAATGTGTTACATGTGCGTTCAGCTTGAAGAAGAAGACAAGATAACAATGGAAAGCAAGGCAAGATGCAGGTCCACTGCAATTGCCGCTCCAGGTAGCGTTCAACCTGCATCCCGACAACTTCTACTCTCAATATCACGAACGCACACTCTGCGTTGTCTTCCTTCATGCCGCCCAAGCGATTTCAATGGCGTTCCACCGTTCTTCGCCCCTGGGTAGTGTCTCTTCTTTTGTTCGCAGAAGTGAGTCTCGTCTGTGCTATCGCGGCTCTTTGGGTTCTGTCGGAGGTACACGCAGGCTTCGTGAACGTCGGCTTTCGAGGATCCGGCTCCGCAATTTTCAGCAGACAAGGCGCACACGAGCGTGGTCAGCCCCTGCTATGGACAACTTTACCGTTTATTATCCTCACGCTCTATCGCCTCTTCCGTGAAGCTGTCGTCGGAGCTCTTGTTGTCGACGCACCGTTCGTCGAATTACACAGGTCCTCATCTGATCGGCCTACCAAGATACGAAAGTCGATATATCTTGATTATCGCACATCACTCAGCATCGTAGCATGGTCCAAGGCTCTCAAGAATGGGCATACATTTCTTGGCCTATGCATGCTGTTTTCCTTTGTGGTATCACTTGGGCTGGTACCGCTGGTCGGAGGTCTTTTCGCCGAAGGGGAAGAGCTTCCTGCGACCAACGCAATTTTCAGTCTAGGATCTATACTCGATAGGACTACAGATATCACTGTCGTCGACTATGGTCTCCTCTTTGACCTTGTTTCTGCCTCCTGGGTCTATACTGCTCCTTACCCTCCCGGAACCGACGGAAACTTTCCTCTTCCAAGCGTGGCACCCGTACGAGATCTCAAGAACTATACCATCTCTTTACCGGCAACCACCTCTCAACTTTCCCTCGATTGTCAGGTCATCAGCGGCGCACCATTTACCACAGACAAGGAGACGGAAAACGTAAAAAATCGCCGTTTCTCCGCTACCGATCGCGATTGCTTGATCTCCGGAGATATCGCTGTCGGAAATAACAAAGATTCTTATTACCTCGGAGCGTTTTCCCAGCAGGACTGCCCTGACGTCGCTGGTCGCACACGATTGGTGCTCTTCTCTGTTCCAGTTGACTCATCTGGTGGAATGCAAGATCCGACCCTGATATCCTGCATTCCGTCATACTGGACTGTCAATGGCACACTGGGCGTGGTTAGAACGACAGACTCCACGAACCGATCGGCAGAAACACCTTCTTTCTCAGAATCTTCTCGGAGCATCGAAGAACTTCCCGATATCAAACGCCAACAATTCGAAGAGGGCGTCGCTAGGGTACAATCCATCAACATAGGAAGTAAGGTTAACACACCGGATCGCCTCGCAGAGCTGGTGGCTAGGTACATCGACAACCATGACTTGGAATTCGCAGAGGACCATTTGATCAAGGCTTCGAGCACGGTATACCCCGCTGTTTATACAATGCTCTGCCTAGACAAGTTCTACCCCACCTTAGCACGACCGATTCAGCAGTGGGGCGTTCTACACATACCTGAGAACCGATTACATGTTGTCGAGCCTGTGGCGATTGCCATGATCATCTTCCTCGTCATACTTGTTGTTGAGTCTATATACCTCATCGTTTACCTCCACAAGTATCCTAGTATACTTGCAGAAGAGCCTATTGGACTTGTCGGTGCTGCAAATTTGCTTCATAATAGTAACATTTCACGTGTGATTGCGAAGTTCCATGACGAGCCTGGATTCGACGGTCGACTTCGACGGCCACTGAAACAGGACGATAAGAAGCAGGACAAAACCAGTAAGAAGCAAGAGAAGGTCAACAGGAAGCAGAACAGGGCAGACAAGAAAGAGGAGAAGAAGAAGGCTTCAAACACGGATGACAGCCTATTGGACAGAAAATGTTGGGTAGAGCGAGAGCCCGACGCATGGGAACTGAAGATCCTAGTGGAACCCAGAGCTGTCGATGCCCCTTTCCCTGAACATGCATTTTCCGCATCTCGGAAAGACTCTGCTCTGCATGCAGCTCAGCCAACACGTTCTGACAGTGGGCAACCGACACAAAACGTAGCATCATTAGTTTAACCTGCTGGTTCATCTCATACTTTCGATATCATACTGATCCGGTTTGCTACAACTTTCTGGTACTAATAGACGCGGCTGCACAACAGAGATCACATTTTCGCGGTGGAAAGCAGCCCAAAATAGGAGAAACGAGGTATGAAGACGTTGATACGAGCAAACAGCCTCAGCTGAACTTGAGATACCTGGTAGCTGCCCTAGCCTCCTCATCTGACTCGTCACATCGTGCCGAGCTAGCGAAGAATGTGTGTATCTCCCGTAGCATACGAATCAATCATAGTCTCTTGATTATAGGGTGGCAGCAAGGCAGATGTGCTAATCCTTCATGGTTCGAGACGAGCGAGCTACTAATCCACATCTGCTCGCCACTCGTGTTGAATCCGTTTTGAGGCAAAAGCAAAAGCGAAATTCGGCTACCTAATAGAAGCTGTGATCGAAGAAGAACGCACGATGGGATACACACCCATCACGGAAGCATGTTTTTATTGAGCTAATGAAGTACAGAATAGCAACTAGATACACCGGGTGACAATCGTGTAGGCGTTCGTCTACCTGGTCTACCCAAGGCAAAAGTAGGCAACTAAGGACATGCGCCTGAAAAACAAGGCTACGTACTTCATTTCGAGTCCAGGGAGTATTCCAGCGCCTACAGTCCACCAGCCTAGAACGCGTTGCCCACCATAACCAAAACAGCATACAAAAACCCACTCCCACCAGCAAAGGTGTTTAGACTTGCCGCTCCAGTGAACTCAGGAAGTCCAGACGATACCGACGTCGGCTTCGTGCTTCCAGAAGTTGGTCTCGCAACTCCCGAAGTCGGCGAAGCAACAACAGAAGTCACATTCGAGCCAGCAGCCGAAGTAGCAGGGCCGACGAAATCAGGGGGCAAAGTGACGCCGTTGGCCAGAGCGCACGCCTGGGGATCCTGCTCCTTGGGACAGCACCAGCCGTCGACGAGGCAGTAATCATTATCTAGGCAGCCCCCTGAGAGAACGTGTGAGCAGAGAGAAACGCAAACGATGCAAGGTTGGTGAAGACCACTTACAGGGATCGGTTGAACCTGGTTCACAGCACACGTGTCCCAGGTCTGGGTTGATGCAAAGGGCGTCACCACACTCGACAGATCCAGCACCGCAAGCTATCTCGCATGTGGCCCCGGCACCGCATGTGTATGTGGACGGTTGGTACTCTTGTCGTTTGCCGAAGACGTGCGGGTTCAATGCGTGGAAGTCATGGAGAGAGAGAGCAGTCGTAACAGTCAGAGCCGCAATGATGAAGCGAGTGAAGAACATCTTAGCGATCCGAATAGTTTGCTATAGCTTATAGAAGATAGAAAACGAGCTTGAAATATGTACAAACATGAGACATTCCCCTCTCCAGCATACTTATACATTCGCCTACACAGCCGCCTCGCTGTGCTTAGCTAATGCAGAAGTTCCTGGAATTCTCCGCAGAGGGCTTGCGTTAGACTTCTAGTCGCTGGTTTTCAAAAATAGAGATCAGGAGAGGAAAATCCACGGGGTTAGGTGTGGCTTGAGCCACTCCACTTTTTCTCGCTTTCCCTTTCGCATTCGACGATGCGCGGATGTGGTGGAACTTCAGCTCAGCTCAGCGGCTGGACCATCGTTTTTGATACAAGTGACTGAGCTAGAACAAAAATTCCAGAGCCTAGGGTTCGTGTATTCATTTATCCAGTTGATCTCACCAGACTGATGGCGGGACAGCGATCATTCCAAGCTGCCGGGCAGCACCATGGTTCTTGCATGCTGCTGGCTGAGCAGGACTTGGTAGTCTCAGCCCCCGCTGTATCGCTGGAAATTACTTGAAGGAATTCTTGGCAGGAAAGCCTGACCTGCATACGCTCTTCTCGATAAACGTCACGGAAAGGGAACTCAGATACCAAGACGAAGTCACGACAATCAAGCAATACAACAAGTCCAAACCGTCACCAAAGGTGGGCAAGAGCTGAGACAAAGCCCCAGACGAGCTGTGATAACATGTACCTAACAACAAAGCGAGCTGAAAGACGCCAAGACCTCCTCATTTAGTCGTCCGCAGCAAGGTTGTTGTCGGGCTGAATACATAGACACAATACACACCAAACCCCGCACGATGCGCTTCCGGAAAAGTAGCAAAGGCACTAGCGGAAGCTTCCACCCTAAACCTCACACCAACTATGTCAGGTAACCCCAACACTTGTGATAACGTGTGTGGCAAGCGAGACACTTACAAAGACAACTACTATAGACGCGCACACGCTTACATGCTCACAGCACGAAGCGTTAGTGGCTTGCACATAGATTAAGGCTACTGATTCGGGTGGAACCTAGATAGCTTCCTAAGTCCTTGTTCCTATGCTCTTTCTCTTGAACTACCTCACTCCGACAACAGCCATTTCGTCTTCACCTCAAACTCGTCGCCAAACTGCAATGTTTCTAACCAGCTTTCCGGAATCTTCTCCTTGCCATCTCTCGCCCCCAGAGCCCCTCCAGCAATCGCACCATTCGTATCCGCGTCCCCACCCAGCCTTACAACATCGACCAGCACGTCCTTGAAAGACCTCGGGTCCAACAATGCAGCAACAGCCAGCGTTAGCCCGTTGAGCACGTATCCCGTCGTTATGTCTGATCCCGCGCTCTTTGGTCCCTGGTCTGCAAGTTTTGCCAGATCGAGCGTCTCGCCCCGGGATATGGCAGCCTCGACTTGTGTTTGGCCCTGCTCTTGGGCGACCAATCTGCCTTGTTCCACGGCCTCTCTCACCTTTTTGCCTTGAATCATCGCGGCGATCATCTCGTTGTAGGCAGCGCACGAGACGGTGCAGCGGGTATCGTTATGGGTAATGGCACTGATGGCCATGCTCTCCCGCACCCTCACTTCCTTGCTATCGGAGAAGAGCGCGGTGGGTATACAGCGCATCAGGCTTCCATTTCCGGCGCTTCCAGGGCCAGCACCGCTCCTTGTTGCATCTCCCGTGCTGTCGTAGTTTGACAGGCCAGTTTGAGTCGCGCATCCAATGTCAACCGGCATGCTTCCCGGCTCTCTGTCAGGCCAATCGCCAGTCAGCCATGCGAGGCTGTAGTCGGCTGCAGCCTTGACCACGTCGAACTCGCTCCCTTCTCGCCCAGCGCTTGTTTCGCAATGTTTTCGGCGATCCGAGTACGCCAACAGGACGGCTCGCGTTAGATCCGTGTCATCGGTTGCATGTCCGGGAGGCCAGGAGAAGGAGCCACCTCCGACAATCTCCTGCAGACCATCTGGGTACTTTTGCTTGATGGTGGAATGATATTCAAACTCGAGGGTTGCGCCGAGAGAGTCGCCAGCATGGACACCCAGAATGGCGCCTAGGCTTCTGGATAGGCGAGTGTCGTGGTTGCTCATGGTTAATCTCGTGTTGTGGGTACAGATTCGATGGGGAAGCGGATGTGGTTCGCTTTTGTAGTCGCTGAAAGGCGAGTGTCCAAGGCTGCAGCCTAGAATTAGGTGCGCTAAAGCATCGAACCAATCCCGTGTCATAAGCGCAGCATAAACAGCTTAGCTTAGGTGAAGAGGTAAGCTAAGTGGTATAAATCTGCCGGCAATTTTACATTTCTTGCTCTAAGAGTAACGCTAATCTCACGTTAGTGATACTGCCTGGAGCCTAAATTTTTGTCTTGCGAAATCCTTCGAACTCTCTATATTAACAACTATCACTTAGTGAACGTGAGTGTCGTCCAGCGCTTCTGCCGCCTCTCGTACAGCATCTTCGTCCTCTTCATCGCTATACACCCCAAGCGCTGCTCGAAATGCCTCTCGGTCCCAGTTCCGTCCTTCCCCATCTCCCGGCCACCCAGCTCTTCTCATCTTGCACACGAGCCCCTTGAAGTCTTCGTCCGCGTCATCAAAGTCACAGTCCATTGGTACCGCCTCAACGACATCTGTTTGGAGGCCGATCCAGCGAAGCTCGTTGAACCGCTGTTTGCAGAGCGCAAAGAATTCGCGTGGGTAATAAACATTGAAACCCTCCCGCCAACGCTCCGTTTCGTTGCCAGCGTGATGCTCTTGCACCACGGCGTTGAGCTCTGGTGCTGGCTCGTCGTGCTGACCGTTAGGATCCCCCCAGTAGATGTAGCCATCGGCCGTGTTGATCACGAGATTGTAGCCGTTGCGACCGTTGCTGTTGCCGAAAGAGATGCATGACGACGGTAAGGGATCGCATATGGGCTCCACATAGTATTCGAGATCCCCGTCGCGGATCCGCTTCTGTATCTCTTCGCTGCGGTAATCCTGGATCCGTGTGTTCACCATGACGACGTGCTTGCCATAGGCTTTGTCTGGCTCAACAAAGTCTACAAAAGGCATGCGGCGAAGCAATTCGATGACTGCATCGGTCTTGTGCAGGTTGGCCATGGTGGATTGTGTGATTGATGGCCAGCCATTGTTGGGCGCTTCCACGACGACCGAGTTATCCCAGAACACTCGATTGCAAAACTCGTAGTAGTTCGTCAACAGTGCGATAAACTCGGCTTGATCGAAGTTCATGGTAGGGGAAAGTGGAGAAAGACACTAGTTAAGCACGGTAGAGCTTGGGTAGGGTTGAGGATTTATGTCGACGGTTAAATAGGGTCTTCCAAGGTTGTTACCCGCCGACCCCGATGAACCCTGCCGCCCAGGGGAGTAAGCATCTGCGCCGCAGTCTGCAGAATATACAATCTCGCTACGGATGCGACCACATCTTGGCGTGGTACAAGGAGGAAGATGTCGCGAAGCAAGTACTCCCAGTGTGTCAGAAACTTTGGACGCCGAAACGTCTGCCACATTAGCAAGGAGGCACTTTTTACCGTGTTTACGCAGCAGGAGCTTCAATTGGTCTTTCGAAGCAGCAGGGCTAGTTCCCATCAACTCGCAGGCTGTGTCGGATCGCCTTAAAGTGCGGCTGCGTACCCCGCCAGAACCCCTCCTCCCAAGAACACCCTGGCAGTCTAAGACTCCAAGCAATACTCATGGGTGCGGACCTCAGTCAAAGCTTGTACATAGTTTCTCTGATGCTGGATCAAAACGCACTCCAAGCCTCGCAGATCCACGAGATCGAAGAACAGTCAGCAGCGATACCCAAGCGAAAATCGCGTAAGCGCAAGCTGATTCGGCAGCATGGGACTATGGGTTATGGGGATGCCGCGGCCCAGGGAGCAGCTCAGGCTTCTGCAGCACCGCAGCGATCTAGAAAGCTCGTTGTGGTGGTAGCCGAGAACCAGCCCAACCAGCTCTACGGCGCTGTTAAAACTGCAGCGGGATTGAGTGCAACGCACGTACGCGCGAACAGAGGTGAGAATATCTGTTCGATGCGACGAAACTGAGCATGCGTCACATGAGTTGGTCGTGCCACATGAGCCTCCCTACGACAATACAGGACTGTGGTAGAAGCCTCTAATTTAAGGTACGCTACAGGTACACTACATTCGACACTAAGTCTATGCGCCCTACTTTGCTTGCAATAAATACAAAGGATACAAAAAGAATGATTGAGCGATTGCCTGGGCGTGGTGATTGCTTTATATATGCAACAAGGGAGAGCTCTGCCGTGGGCACAGTTCTCGTCCCTGCCTAGGACTCATCTGGTAGGCACCCGTTGGTAGCGTGTCAAAGCAGTTGATCCATTGCAGTCTGCATCCAGCCGAGAAGTAGAGAAAGGTGTCTGTTGTTCAAAAAGTGTATTGTAACCCGGGCCTTGCTGTGATCTTTATACATCTGTTGGTTGTATTCCTAGAGAAATCGGGGATCCTGGTGTCGCTGGCTGTACGTATTCCACGGCACCCGCGAGAGAGGCCTGAGCCATCACCTCGCTAGGCGTGGTAGATGGTGAACGCGTCGCAATAGAAGCATTTCCTAAGGCTGCTGAGGATGAGCCTTCATCAACGTCGAGCGCACGCACTACCTGGTCAGACTCGTCTGGTCCCAAAGTAGACGGAAGTGGGCCTAGCGCTAGGGAGGTAGCATTGCCCAGCACCAGATCGAGTAATTGCACTGAGCGGGCTGCAATCCAGGGTCGGTTAGGCAGCGTGCGATACTTCGACTTGCCGCTTGTCACGGCGTTAGGAGGCGCCGCACTGTACAAATATGTGCTGATAGCGGCTGCTGCGTGATTTTGGTACCATGGATCGTCGGTGAGCAGTGCGAAGCCGGGATCGTTAGGTACCAGAGTGCTCGGCCAGCATCGATTAACACTCAATCCATCGTCAGCATGAGAGGTCAATCTTGTGTGTTCCCAGTGTTTGATCTCGAAAACAGCGTTGGGCACTTCGACACCAACGCTTGTAATGTATGCTTCATGGAATCTTAGCATGGCGACCATCATAGACGGATATCGTTACTTACTTGTTGTACCTCCTCCGACCCTTTGTGAGACTCTCGAACTCGTTGTCGTGGCTGCGCCATTTCTCATTGTCCTCTTGGCCGCGTCTTTCCACGCATCGTGGCTGGGACAGAACGCACTCCAGATCCCACCCGCTCCGCCATTGTCAGGTTGAGGTATCAAGCGGATGAATTGTCCGGCCTTCTTCCTGGGACTCTGTGAATTCTGCCCCCAGAAGTAGCGCGGCGGCCATTCATCTCGTTCGCAATCGTCGAACTCGGTCCATTCTTTTGACCATTCCCAGTGATGCTGAGCTGTCCTGGGCACGCTTGGGCGACTACCCCAGAGACCCCAGTCATCTGTTGCCTTGCCGTGTTTACTAGTACTTGACGTCGCCCAACACGTGAATCGAACCATATCAGGCGTGTTTGTATGAACGCTCATCACCGAACTATAGTGATAGCATGCCTGTGACCACTTCTCTGAGCAGGTCATTGGAGGCGTCGTCATGAACGTAGAAATGCTTGTCGTTGTGGTTGAGTCTGTCCTTGTGATGGGTCCGTTATTGCAGGAGGTAGCTCTTTGTTGCAGCCGGGCAGTAACCTCTGTGTAATGAACTTCATGAATGATATTCATCGGGGCAAGTCGTGAATCAAAGCGACCATTGCTTGTGTCAAGACTGAGCTCAAGCAAGCTTCTCTTTGGTCTGCATGTGTTGTTGTTATTGTCGTCATCTTTAGAACCGTCCTTGCGACAATTACCGAGTACCTTCTGCAAAGATTCATCGTGCTTCTTGAATGTTGCACCCATCTTGCTGACGTCGTACTTGGTCTGCGCTCGCCGAGCGGCGCCCAATTCTGCGAAATCTCGAGGTTTGCGGACGCGTCCAGCACCTAGCAGCCCCATAATAGCCATGGCCGCGTTTTCCGGATTGGCAACTACGTCTGCGATAGTGAAAGCGGCATTCCCAATCATTCCGGCCATGGCAATCATGCGAGCGACGGTGGCTGCGCCCGCCGCAATCGCTGCGATTTCGCCAACAAAAGGAATCAAGAAAAGAAGGGCCGAGATAATCGTAATGATGAGATTTTTCTTCTCCTCTTCTCTGATCTCTCCGCCTTTTTCTTTCGCTTCCTCCATAGAGTCCACAGCTTGCGCGAAGAGAAAGACTGGCACTGAGAGGACTTGAACCACATCGCCGTTGGAGCCATCCCATATACCTGCCACGATATCGAAGAAGCGAGCAGACATGGCATTTCTGGTGGCTTCAAGATCGATGCTCTTGATAATCTCCTTAGGGTCAGGGATGCCAAAATCCTTCTTGAGAACAGGTATACCAGTGACAGTGACGTCTTTGTAGATGCACAGGCAAGCGGGTTGCCCTTGGCAACTTGAGCAGTCGTTTACCTCTTCGTGGAATTCACCGAGTTCGATCCAATCAGAGATGATGCCCGCTTCTGCTTCGAGTGCATCATAGAAGCCATCGCTATCTCTGATCGTCATCTTCATAGTCATCTTACCTTGAAAGATCAAAGGATCATCTTTCATCAAGTCCTCGCAAGGACCACTGTACTTGTCTTTCCCGCCAGATCGTTGAAAGTCACAATCAGTGTACTTTCGGATGTTGCCAAACTCCCAGTCCGCGAATTTCTTGAAAGCTGCCTCGGCACTCTTCTTGATGACTCGTTGATAAGCCTCAAAGTTCTTGTCGTAGCCATTGTCCGCGTTGTTGTATTTGGTTATAGAACCATCCAGCATCTTCTCAAGAATGCTGACGGCGAGAACGGGCTTGCAGTCGTCCGATACATCACCATCGTTCGCTAGAGCTTCGAGATCTGCGTATTCCTTGGTGAGGGGGCAGTTCTTACCACCCATTTGGTTGTCGTCGTCTTCGCCGTTGTTACCGATGCCGCTATCGCCATAGTCCTTGTCGAGGTCAACAGCCCAGTCCGACACTCCCCCGAAATTGAGTTTTGTGTATTTGTTGATTCGGTTTTGCTTGGTCTCATCGGTCATCCATGCTACCCACTCCGTATCTTGGTACACCAGATAGTCGGTATCGGTGTCATCGCTCCATTCCTTGACTCCAAGAAGCTCTTTGTTCCACAAAATCTCTCGAATTTCCGCAGAAGATATGTAGCCGCCCGTTCCGGTGCAAGGTCCCGGCATCGCATCTGACACAGTTCTACTGCCTGTGTATCTGCACATCTCGCTCGTGCAACCCTCTTCGGCCATTTTAAAGCTGCGTCCATAGCTAGCTATACCAACCACAACCTTGTACGAGGGAACGCCAGCTTTAGTGATCATAGCTAGTGCAGTAGCCGTCTCGGTCATATTGATATGCGAACGTAGGCAGTCGCCTTCAGGGCAGCCAGGACTTGACCATTTGTTACCATAGTCCCATTGTCCGTGCAGGTCGTAGGTCATGTAGATGATATAGTCAATGACACTAGACATCTCTTTGATTGGAAACGCCTTCAAATACCAATACGAGGCAGGAGCTGCGATCGAGACTGATTTGCTTCCCATACGACGTTTGACTAATTTCAGAAACTCAAGATAGTTGGTGCCTTCGTCAGCGGCGCCGGGAACAGGCGTGATATCCTGGGCACCAGGGTATTCCCAATCAAAGTCGATACCGTCAAGGTCATACTCGTTTACGAAAGCAACCACATTGTCTGCAAATGTAGCACGATTTGCTTGACTGACAGCCTGACGAAAGATGGTGTAGGTTGGTGCATCCGCAGAGAAGGCCCAACCGCCAAGTGACACTATCCTTTTGATGCCAGTCATCTTCTTCAGCTTGTCGAATTGGTCCTTTAACGTACCGACGTCGATTTTGAAATCTCCAGCAGTGACATTTGGAAACGCAAAGTGGATATGGGTATACTTCTTGGTGTCGATATCTGTGACATCCATATGCAAACATGGGCGATCCTGATTCCAGGCCTCGAAGTAGGCGACGTGGGCGAAGCTCGCTGGCCCTTTAGCATTGTTGGTGATATTCATCCCACAATTGGATATGCATCCGTTCATGCCCGGCTTCGATGTACCGGGAGCGCCTGTATCAGCTGGATTCTCGATGCAGAAGTCCTTGTCCATTCCACACTGGCCCCAGACGTTACAGCAGACATTCAGGGGGCATGGGTTCATATCGGCAAGCTTCTTGTTGCCCCGAACTTCTCCATTTGGCTTTTGCGGCCCACAGACGGCATTTTCGATGGAATTTGGCATTGGAGGTTCGCCATCGGAAAGGCATATCTTCTGGCCAGGCTGAAGGTTGTCGCAGCCAGCAAAGCCCCACGTGTTCTTGTTGAGATCCTCTATGCCCTTCGTGGTGAGATAATTCGCGTCGGCGAGGGCCCAACAACCGTCACCATCCTTGATGTCGTACGAGAAACACGAGCCATCAGCATTCTTCTTTGGGCGGACTATGAATGAACATTAGTTCTAGAGTCAAAAACCAGGACAGCGTTTTCACCTACAATCAGGCAGGTCGCCAGCCGAACAGCAGACAAACTGTTTAGGTTTGAGCTTGTTGCAGAAGTCTTCTCCAGGGTTGAAGTTGTAGAACTTCGTCAAGCTGATACCACATCGTTCTGCTAATGCATAGCAATCGTCACCGCTGAATACCTCTTGATAACCACAAGTAGCCCTTCGATGCAAGTTGAGAGACGAGGTAACATTGGAAGAATGATTCGTGGAGTTATTCGCCATCGCATTTGAAGAGCTGTTCATACTTTTGACCAGCCAGTATTTGATGTCGAAACCTGACCAGCCAGAAGTTGTATCAGCACCAGAGGGGCTTCTACCCTGACTCCAGCTAAAAACTGCTTCCTGCGCTGCGGTGATATTGTTCTGAAGGTCCGCAACGATGCCAAAACCCAAGGAAGATGAGTGTGTTTCCTTGTAGTTCTGTATGGTGAAGCGATTGGTTTCGCCACTTCGACTGGACTGTATTGCGGAACTGAGGCGCTCAACTACGGGGCTGAGGCCCTCTCGATCGACCGCGTGACCAACAAAAGCTCCCACAGTAGCTGATCCGACCTTAGCGAACATTGTAATGTGTCTACAGTCACCGGTCTTAGTGATGTAGCTTCTCAGCGTTCCAAGGGCCGCAGCGGCATCTTCATCACTAGCGGTGCTGTCCGTTCCGGTCGGGTTCGTGTGCCATTCATGGTAGTAAATCGAAGTCTGATTAGACTTCGGACCCATGTTTGACGGACAGCCTGGAGACTGCAACCTTTCGGACCTCTTCTTCGGTGTACCAAAGGTGAACGGCACGGGATCATAGTCGGGTGCCTGTTTTGTGTCATCCTCGGAATATGTACAGGCACGAATAGTAATGTGCTTGTCTGGAGAGTTGACGGGAATGTCCAGCATAGTGCTGAAAAGCAGGGGCTTTTCGCATCGATTGAGTGCGACGACACCATGAAGATACGTCCACTTCAGAGGATCCAATCCAGACTTGCTACATCGAACAGGACATGGATTTATTGGACTTGAAGCGTCGCTCTCAGCGTGTGTTCGAACACCAAAAGCGAGTGTGGAGAAGACAATGAAGAGAGCGGACGAGTACATGGTGCAAGGACGTGCCGAAAAGAATGACCAGAATATCATGAGTGTATACGGTTGAGAAAGAAGAGACGATAGATGAGGTCCGTAATTACGAACTGGCTTTGCAGCAAAAGGAATGAATGACGGTGAGAAACAAGGAGACGACCTTCTGTGCAGACCAAAGTCTGCTCAGTGATCAATATAAGTAACCGGTCTGAAAAGACCCGCATCAGAGAATTGAGCGATTATGCTCAAGATGTGCCCCTCGGGAATGCGCCTTGTGAATTCGCCACATGTATCATGCACTCCTAGCGGGAGTAATCTATTGTCAGTCAGATCTTACGAGCGCTGGAGGATTGTGGTAATATTCTTGCAGGGTCGTGCGGAGCTAGCACGGTTGAACAATGTATTGGTCTGGGCGTACGGTAACATTGCCAAGATGTTGGCACGAGACTGTTGACTAGGATCATAATTAAAGGATGGCAAGCTCGGAAAAGGGAGTGGCGAGCAGAATCATTACACCTCTTCTTCTTATTTCGGACCGTCCAACGTGGTTCACAATTAGTCCCCTCAATTGCTTCTAACTATTTGATTATTCTTGACAAGAAACCGCAGACCTCATCCATCAACATGAAGCTCTTGTACCTCCTTGCGCTGGCCTTTGGCCCTATCTTTGTTCTTGCCGAGCTCAACGCATACGAAATACTCATGTTTTTCGACATGTATCGTGTCGATTACGAAAAGGATAACAGTAACTTCAAAATTGCTAAAGGATGCAAAGATTGCAATTTTGAGGACTTCGTTATTCATATCGACCGACTTGGGATGACTTCGAATGTCGACGGTCGTTTCGGAGATCTTATGAACCCTAGTCTTGACGACGTAGAGGGTTGGGAGCAACGAGACGATCTTGTCTACGATGCAAAAAAGCTGCTTGGTGGATTGTGGCGCGACGAGGACACAAAATCCCGTCCCGGCCATGCTATTGTCATTGAGCGGCTTGTTGACTACATGTCCAGCCTTCGCTCAAGTGGAGATTCTGAACGCCTCAGCAGGATTCTCACTGGAATGCAAGCCGCGCAACTCAGCAGACGTAGCCTGCAGGCCAAAGCCATGCTCGACTACATAAACGGCCGACTTAGCAAAGCCCGCGTGGGGTCTGCGAAAACGCAGTCCATCTCCTGGCAAGGCGGAGACTTCGATGAATTCGATGCCATGGCCACTCTTGAAGGAGTACAAACCACAAAGCGAGGGGTCATGCGCACGGAGATCGTCGCCATTGCCAAGTCCATCAACAACAACAATCTCGAAAGCAGCCTCAAGAGAGATATCGGGATGGGAAGCGGCCGTAGCATCCAGAAGCGCGAATTTGGCGAAGGGCTGGCTATCATGGCGCTGCAAAGAGGCATCGATTCGTTGAGCATGCCAGCGCGTAAGAAATGCTGAAAAGGGTCGCTCTGAGGACCTTCGGAGAGTGTTTCCAACACATGCTTCACAATCCGCGGTTGCTGCGGATCTGGCAGGGGAACTGGGTGCCAACCATGGCAAAAGCAGCCTGGCGAGAGGCATGCCGAGCGATCTAGCGAGATATTTTGGTACCGTAATTAGATGATCGAAGAATGCGATACACACAAATGGAAGAAGTGATGCAATAACGGCTAAATCGATGCATGCCCAAGCTGTGTAGAGTTCGGGAGCTAGACGGCCCGTGCTGATGTGGACCCCTGCAGCAATTCTGTATGTAAGGTACCCGAACTCTACCAGGTGTTCTCAAGATAAATCAAGCGGCTCCATATTGGGTTCATGCAGAGCCCTGTCTATTCAACCACAGAAGTGTGCATCCATTACCCGTGCCTCGGCGAGTGCGACAGTGTAAGACGAGCGCATGGTTCGTCATGCAGGGCGTAACAGACTAGTTGCTAGCAAACAAGCTGTCAGCTTACGCAATAAATGTGAAGTGTCGAGGCGAGTCTCCCATGCTTGGCCTCGGAAGCGAGGTGGACGTTACCCAAGTAGAATAGACGTTGAGAAGGGCATTGATTGCACTGCTCGCCTGTTAGAGTGAGTTACGGAACGCCTTACAAGATCGTAGGGTTCTTCAAAGTGTGGTTCGTGTTGGTGGCCAAAGTCGAGCATCAGGCCGTCAGTTACCGTAGAGTGACTACTACAATGCGGTCTTGGCAGCCAGGGTCTTGGGATCAAGGTCACCATCGGTCTGGGCAGCAATTCCCAGAATGGTAGGCCGCAATCAACGAGAATGACCAAGGCAGAACCTACGCGACTCTCCTATACCGGATGGTTACATTCATCCTTCCGGACGGACACCAGAAGATGAAGCCTCATGCTGCTAAGGCTAGCGCTGCTAGGATGCTGGGGGGAACACTTCTACCACTGCAAGTGCCCACAACCACACTAGGGTCAATACAGAATCTACACATAAAATACGGGTACCAGTCAAGTTCATCAACTCAGTCCTCTACTCGACTCGAGCCTTACTGTCCTCTCCACTACTAGTCAGTCATGTTCGCCTTCACGCTCGGCAGTACCGTGACCACCCTCTCTGTGCTTGGCCTCTGTACAGGAGGGTCGGCGGCGACCTCACGTGTCCAATCGCGCAGCGGGAAAACACCGAGCCTGGCTTTCGATCCAGCAACCACGTCCTACTGCTCTTGGTGGATCGACTACGATGGTTCCATGACCTGTCAGGAAGTCCTCGACGACAATTGGATTGAGCTAGATGCATTTCGCCGCTGGGTATGTAGAGACAAAACACCACCCTCGACTTGCATGAGCTGACTGCTGCGTAAGAACCCTTCTGTCGGCGCTGACTGCATTGGCCTTGTGTCCGGCAATAGCTTTTGCGTCGAGGCTGTCAAGGAGCCCGCACCAACAACGACCCAGAAAACGTCCGACATACCTAGCTCATCGAATTCCAAAGCCGACACGCCCACTTCCAAGCCCACTTCGTCACCTTCTCCCGTCCAACCAACCACTTCCAGTGTCATTGCTAGCAGTGCCACTCCGACTTCTAGTAACGGCGTGGCTACACCCTCGCCCATACGCCCTGGGATGGTCAGAAACTGCAAAACCTTTCACTTCGTCGAATCGGGAGATAACTGCGGCACAATGGCTGAAAAGTATGCCATAGGCACTGCCAACATTATTGCGTGGAACGGACTCAACAATGCATGCACCAATTTATGGCAGGACACATATGCCTGCGTGGGCATAATCGGTGGCTCACCCAGCCCTTCTCCTACCACTTCAGTTCCATCTGGCAATGGTGTTTCGACTCCGCCGCCTGTCCAGCCACGGATCGTAAAAAATTGCAACAAATTTTTCTTCGTTGAATCAGGAGATACATGCGACGTTATCAACCAGAAGACTGGCGCGCGAATAGTCGATATCGTTGCATGGAATGGACTCAACAGCGGATGCACCGATATCTGGGGCGACACATATGCTTGCATCGGCGTCATTGGTGGCTCGACTTCGTCCACTTTCTCATCTTCTCCAAGTCCTACCCAGTCCGGCAATGGCGTATCGACGCCAACACCAGTTCAGCCAGGAATAGTAAAGAACTGTAACAAGTTCTTCTTTATTGAAGGAGGATATACGTGCGATGTTATTAAAGAGAAGACTGGTGCCCGAGTAGCAGACATTATATCGTGGAATGGATTGAACAGCGGATGCACAAACATCTGGGGCAGCACATATGCATGCGTCGGTGTTATCGGCCAGTCCCCGACCACAACTACACCATCCCCTTCGCAGACGTCCAGCGGACCCGCAACACCTTCACCTATCCAATCCGGGATGACCAAAGGCTGCACCTTTTGGCACTTTATTGGCGGTTCTACGACATGTCAGCAGGTCCTGAGCTACCAGAAGGTCACGATGGCGCAGTTCTACAAATGGAATCCGGCTGTGAAGGCAGACTGCAGTGGCTTGTGGAAAGATACCTATGCTTGTGTCCGCGGACCATAGTCGTGAGGGAAGTCAGCCCGATAATAAGATATTCAGCTTCGCGAGCATATATACTTGATCATGTACTTAAAAAGTCTCCGATTCTTAGCAGTTTCGCAGTGGTTTGCACATTGTCTCATCTCGTAGAACTTTCACGCAATTGCCCTCGCTCCTCCTTCGGAATTTGTTACACTGCGGATCTGCCGCGACGCTATGTGATTATTTGCTCTCCAGCCTTGAAATATCTTCTCTGAGGAATCAACTTTTTCTTCTTTCATTGCCGTGCCCAGAGTCACGTAGCTTGACTGTTGGTTCGATGGTACTGGTAAATCTATTTTGTTGCGTCGCAGAGCATAGGAATGAATGGGAGATAGATCATTGATTGTTGCAAAGCTTTGAAGAGCATTGCTTTTATATGGAGAGCACTGCTAGTGTGCTCTCATCGAGTCTAGTAATTCCAGGGTACTGAGCGTCAAAGCTCTCTTGTGCAGTGCGGTTTCTGTCACATATTTCTTCTTCTGCGCACTTAACTTACCCGCAGAGTGCTTTTATGTCTAGCTTGACACGCCGTCTAGTCTTGCGCTCAAACCGAGATAAAGATACGTAGACTGGTTCAACGCGACTCTGTTTATCGGCTGCATAAGTAGTCTGCTGTTCGGGACGTCGTAGAGCACCTAGCACCACTGACTGTCAGCCGTGTGGTTGGCATCGTCGCCTTCTTCTTGTGGCATGGGTTTTTGTGGTTGCGCAGCTTACTGCTACTGTCACTTCTCCCCACCTGAAGCGCGTTCATTGTCTTCTACTGCGCACTCGTGCATGATTTCGTGGTGAGCACGCCTCCGCCGCTAACGCATATTTTCGCTCACAGTCCGACAGCCCCTTGCTGTACTCTACCATCTGCCGCTCTGCCCCATGCCTCTTCGAGACTACCGTCCTGTGTGCGCGGGGATCAGGTTCTTTCCTGCCGTCTGCCTACTTGTTCCAGATTCCAGGCTCTACTGTCATTATTGTACACCACGTAATTTAGGAGGTAGTACGCAGATGTTTAGCCTTACCGCGCAACTCTCAGGCACAGAGAGCAGTGTCTATTGAATGCAGAACAACGCATGGCTTAGAAATTGAATCGAACCAGCGAGCTGTCGTCGTGGTATCTCGTTCGTGCCAGATCCGCGAGAGAAAAGTTGTCGTCGCTCGCTGGATGACTGGTGCAAAACCATCGACATAATCTTTGACCGCCTGCAGTGTGCTAACGCGCGCTTCCGTACCTCTGACTTCAATGGCTGCTACTATGAACGGTAGCGTGACAAATCGTAGCGGTTGCTTCGTCATATGCTTCGTAAGCTCAAGCTCCCTCATTACTTCCTTTGACCAGACACCAGCCTTGTCATCTTCGCTCTCGAAGTCGTGTCTTAACCTATGAGCCACCAATAGTGTAGCTAGTCGGTAAACCTTGGCTTGCGCAAGAAGATGGACGAGCTCAGTGGAGTCGAAGTGGTCAAGTATCTGACGTGCGTGCGACGGGATCCATTCATCCACGGCGGTATGAATTTTGTCCAGCTGAGCATGAATGCGAGCTATGCAACTTGCATCGGTCTCGTTCGATAGGGAATGGCTGACGATGCAGAGATCCTGATAATGTGGCAGTAGAGGCAGGCAGAGGCCAAGCTTTCTATCCACGCGCTCTTGTAGCTGCTGCGGAGCTCTTAGTGTTGGCGACCTGCGATGTATCAAACATTCCATCACCTCCAGAAGTTCAAGGAAGCTTTTCCATGATTCCAGAGGCAAACTCGGTGGCGTAGAAGTTACGATTGTGCTCACTGCACTAATACAGTAGTGGCAGATATCTGCGACGCCATAGCCAATGCCCGAATAGACGAACAATGCTAATGTATTTCCGAGAGCAAGGCACAGAGTGGCATCCTGCTCGGTCGTGACAGAGAGTGTACGCAAGGTGCTCATGGCTGGAGACGCGAAAAGGATTCCCGTATTTCTAGCGACTTCTTCGTCAGTGCCATACTGGAGCGACTTGAGCCAAACAGCGCATGCAAGGTAAGCATGCTTTAGTATTGGCAGTGCGAAAGGTAGTAAAGCTGCTAGTGTCTGTTGTTTGATGATTGCAAAACTGCGGAGCACGACTACAATGGCCGTGCGCTAGTTGATCCACGTCGCCAGTTGAGCCACCCCCCACCAAAAAACAATAAAACTTCAACGCGTCATAACTCAACAACTATATAACTAATTTAAGAAGCAATTAAATATTTAGAATTACGTAAAGCTAGAGATAATTTCTTATACTATAAAGTCGCAAAAATGTTTAGAGTTAATCGCTCTACGCTAATAAGATAATACTATAGTAATTATAAGCTATATAGCTTACGCAACCTCTCTCTTTATCTATAATACAAAGCTAAGCTTATAAAGTACGTTAATACACTTACTAAGCAACGTTTACTATCTATAAAGAAGATAATATAACGCTTTACTTTTAGTTTAGCTAGAAAAGAGGTTTTAGAAACCTAAGTTACTTAGTTTCTCTACTATTATTTTAACTTTCTTATCTCTTAATATACTTATAAGATAAGTAAACTTTATTATAATACTAATTTAGAAGCTAAGTATAGCTTATATTTTAAGCTTTTATATAAAAAAAAAGAGAACTATAACTTATAACTTACTTATATATTTAATATAGATAAAAAGAAGTTTTAACTTAGAAAGACTAGTAAAATAAAGTAGATTTTCTCTAAGGTATATTAGGATAAAAAGAAAGTATACTAGCTACTTAAAGATAGCTTAAGTAAGTAAATTACTATTATAGCTTATATTTATTTAGATAAAAGCGTTTTAAGTCCTTTTCTTATTTTTAAAGTAGCTAATAAAGCTATATAAACTAGCTAAGTTAATACTATATAAGTAAGAAACTACTTAGTCTTTACTACGTTATTGCTTTTAGGCTAGAGTAATAATAATATTAGATTATACTAGCTTTAAGAGGTGTTTAAATAGAAGACTAAATAATACGCTTTAACTAGGTATTATTTATTACTTCTTAATAGCTATAGATCCTATATAACTATAAAGTTTATTAAGTATTACTATAATTATAAGATCTTATTAGCTATATACTTACTCTACGCTACCTATACGCTTTAACTACTTAATATAGTAATATTTAAACCTCTAGTAAGCGCTTACTTAGTTAAATTAACTTAATACTTTTAAGACTACTAAGAAATACTTAATATAAGTAAAAAAGACTTCTTTTTACTCTTCTAAAAGTTCTAGACTAAGGTATTTAAACTTTAGCTTATTAAGAAGTTCTTTAAAGCTACTAGAATATACCTACTTAACTTAGTAGTTATACTTAATAAGTTTACTAAGAAAGAATTAGATTTAAAAGCTAGTTTAACTTCTATACTCTCTAGAAAGAATTAGCTTAAGTTAAAGTTAATTATACGTTAAGAAATAAGAGATTAAAGTAGTAAAAGAGTTAAAAAGCTTTAATAAAGTTTATACTACTTTATAGCTTAAAATATACTTTTTTATAATAAACTTAAAGGCTTTAAGTAATCTCTAGCTATTAAAAAGAGGTAAGAAACTAAATTCTATACTTTATAGCTTAAGGATTATCCTAAGTATTATAGTAGAGCTATTTAGTAGTTACTAATAAGCGTTAAATAAGTAAAGAATAATAAAATATAATAATAATAATAATAATAAGAGCTTAAAAAGCTTTAAAAAGCTAAGTAAGCTAAAGTAAGTAAAATAGCTTATAATTATAAAGTAAAGCTTAAAGCTATAAAGCGTGTAGAGTAGAAGAAATAAGTAAAAAAGAAGAGAAAAGAGGTAGCTAAAAAGATAGCTAAAAAATAATACTAAGAGCTTATTAATAATACTAAAAAGCTTATAAAATTATCTAAAAAGAGTAAGTATAAAGCTTTAATAATCTATACGCTAGCTATAAAGCGTTAAAAGTATAGTAGTATTACTATAGCTATAGTAGGAGCCGCATAGGTTATATAAGCTACTCTACTGCGTAGTTAATAAGACTATCTAATAACGCTCTTTAAAAAAATATTTAAATAAGCTAAAAGTTTTATAGGCTTATATATAGTATAAATCTACTTTTGCGTAATTTTATTACGATTTATAGGGGCTATACAGCGCATTATTGTTGACTATATTGGATTGTTAGGGTGGCTCAACTGGCGACGTGGATCAACTGGCGCACGGCCATTGTAGCGACTGAACCCTCTCAGGCTGACCCAACAAGAACATTAACAGCTCTTTCTCCTCTGCGCAAAGATCATAGTCGGGAACATATCGCAACTTGGTGCTCACATCATTCGATGCTGGTTCCGATCTGTTGAGTAACGTCGAGCTCCTCTGCGAAACCGTCCGCTTACCGTGTTGCGGTCGACGGCCTGATGGGCGCACTGGCCTGTCAGTTGAGCAGTGCAAGCGCAACCGCTCGCATCTGACACAAGACGCTGTAATGCACTCGCGAACACATCTCTCCTTGAGATCATAGCATCGGTCGCACGCGATCCTGAGCTTCCGTGTATTCGCTGTGCTCTTTGCCATTCAAGCTCGCGTCCAACCTTGAAGGATTTGCCGCGTCAATAAATTAAGATATGCGAAGACTCATTGCATGTAATGACTCCGGGTGTAAGCAAATCTGCCGCGATCGATGCGCAAGGGATCAAGTGAGAGAATGAGTGAAGTTTAAAGAACCAAATGGTACGCTTGATACACGCTGGTCATGGTGGACCGGAAGTTTGGCCGGAAGTTTGGCCGGAGGTTTGACTGAAGGGTTGAAATTTCCTAGCGTGAACCGACTCATGCTAGCGCTTACCGATGCAGTATGGTAGCGTAACCTAAACCCGCTGGTCGTTCCTTCCAGGCATCGTGTCTTCTATCACGCTTGAACTATCATAAAAGTCGTTTATTCTTGTTCGCATAGCGACCGGAACCGGATGATTTCAATACATACTTGGCAGCTGAAACAAGCTGGTCTGCCCATGATGTCGCTAAGTAGCTCGACTCTACCTAGGCACCTTGGCAAGGTATAAGTACGATGATGAAGAAAGATAGACGTAAAGCAAGCACCTGCTCCCATATGCTCATCTCAACTTCCATCTGCCATGTCTATAAGAATGCGAGACTATCGTGTTATTGCTGCTCAAAAGCAAATCGAGAGAAGCAACAAGATTCCTCCACAGTGGCTGATCGACTCAGCGCTACACAAAGCCACGAGCGTTCTACATATACCCGTCACCTGCGGCGTTCTGAGTGATGTCGAATGCGACATCACCTCAAAGTTCGATGCCACGACGCTTCTCAAAAAGCTCAAGGAAGGAGCATGGTCTGCTGAGCAAGTCACTACGGCCTTTTGCAAGAGGGCTGCTATTGCTCAACAGTTAGTCAGTCACCTGAGTTTCCTTCCCGAGATGGTTACTAAACATCTAATGCAGGTCAATTGTCTGACAGAGATATTTTTCGGGGAGGCGATTGAACGCGCCAGACACCTCGACAAGGAACGCAAAGAGAATCCCAGTAACGTCCTTCCACCCCTCTGGGGCTTACCCATCTCGCTCAAAGACAGCTTCGACATCCTCGGCCATGACTCTTCAACTGGATTGGCCTGTTACGTCGGAGAGCCTGCAAAAGAGAACAGCTCTCTTGCTGCCATGCTACTCGACCTAGGCGCTGTTCTTTACTGCAAGACAAACGTTTCGCAGTTGACCATACCTGCCGACAGCGACAACAACGTCTTTGGCAGGACACTAAACCCTCGCAACTCTACCTTGACTGCTGGTGGCAGCACTGGCGGCGAAGGTGCCCTTATCGCCCTGCGCGGGAGTATACTCGGTGTCGGTACTGATATTGGTGGGAGCATACGTGTTCCAGCAGTTTGCAACGGTATCTACGGCTTCAGAACTAGTGTTGGACTGATACCTCACGATGGGGTTCGCAACCTTTCGGTACCAGGTGCTGACGGAGTGCGCTCTTCCGTAGGGCCTATGGCAACCTCAATCCGGGATTGCGCGCTGTTCTTGAGAACTATCATGGAGTCAGAGACATGGAGATACGACAGTACGATTATCTCACTGCCATGGCGGAATCTACCAGTCAAAAAGAAGCTCTGCATTGGCCTGGTTGAGGACGACGGCATCTATACGCCCTCACCACCTGTTCGACGTGGCCTCAAGAAGACTGCTGACCTTCTTCGCAACAACAGTGGAATTGAGCTTGTTCCTATCACGTTGCCAAACACCAAGGAACATTACAATGCTTTACTCCGGTACTTTTCGTATCCGGGAAGTGATGTATGTTGCCAATACCTCACGATCTTGGTTGCTGACTGATTTGCTTCCAGCACTATCGCGATCAGCTCGCCAGGACTGGAGAACTAGAAGTACCCTCACTGAAAGCAATTCAGATTTTGAACTTCGACGGAACGTCATTGGAGGGCCTCTGCAATCTGAACGTGCATCGAGCAGCGGCTGCGAAGCGATATCAGCGCTTGTTTCTTGATCATGGAATAGATGCAATTCTCATGCCTCCGGCACCACATACAGCTGTTCCTCTTGACCATTGGACAACCGCTTCCTACACCGGACTCTGGAATTATCTCGACTTTCCGGCCGTGGTTATTCCTGTCGATGATGTAGCAGCATCAGATGCGTTGGACAAAACAACCACCGCGAAGTATGGGCCAGACGATGCGAAGGTCTACAGTCTATGTACGTACAGTTTTCGTCGTATATCCCACCTGCTGACCATCGCTCGATCCAGACACAGGACCAGAGCTCTATAGAGATATGCCAGTGTCTATTCAGCTAGTCGGATACAGGCATGCAGATGAGGCGCTCTCGAATGCAGCTGTTCTTATCGACTCTATCATCAATACACCGACTGGTAAGCGATAGAAAGGTTTAGGGACTCTCGAAACGAATCTTGGGATCAAAATAGCCTAAAATTCTTGTCTCTATTGATTGCATCTCTCTATCATCACCTGGGCATGTTCGAGTGTATGTTGTTGCTTCTCTTTGGTCAGCGCACTAGTCGTGTTCTGTATAGGCAGTGACATCGTCTTGACAAACGTCAGCATTAGCATTCAGGCGGTGTTCAAGCCGCAAAACTGCGCA